GTAGATTTTCTGATCATATGATCTTCTGAACCGTGACCTATTCCAGAATTTGATTCGGAATACTGATCATGAAATTCTTAATTTGGTTTGTGAATTTTTTTCGAATTTGTACAGTATGTATGAACTTTTTATCTGTTATTAACTTGAAATAACAAGTTACTAGTTTCTTAATGATTTTTTTGATCTATCATTTTATATTTTATTCGCAAACTTTGGTCTGCTACTGTAAAGCTCTTTTTGGCAAAGAAGAGCGAAGCTTAATTTGTGAACTAGTAAAACTTTCTATGCAGATAAAGTTTGCTTTCTCATACTCAAATTCATTGTTAAAAGCAGATCTTACCTAGCGTGATCTACATAGTATTTTTACTAGCTTGCAACTTAGGTTTTACTAGTCTTATTACTATTATTTTTGCTTTTTGTAAAAAATTTTTTTTTTCATTGAGAAACTTATACGACATAATCCATTATTATTGACCTATTCAATAGAAAAAATCATTTGAAGACTAAATAGCATTAGACATATCAGTAAGGCTTATTCATTTTAATTATATCAGAGCGAATAAAGATAACTAACTAAATTTTAAATAAAACTAGATTTAAATAGCTAAGATATAATTTACTGAAGTTTTTTAGTTCTAATATGTATAGCATTTTTATTATCAGTTTGCTGCCTATTTAATTTATAGCGATTTTTAACCAAATTGTTTATTAACGTTAAAGAAAATTAGTTTAACCATATTTGCTTTTAGATTATTATCTGATCTACTAAACATCCTCAAGAAAAAATAATTCAAGTTAAAATAAAATAATTTTTTTTTTTTCTCTTAAAAAAACAAATTTACACTTGCTAACTTATTTTATTTTATTTTTTTTAGAATGGATCAATAATAGTTGGCTATGTAGTTAATAATTTTTTTATATTTGTTATGGCAAAAATAATGTCCAGAGAGTTGATCTACGTCACGTTGGATTACGTTTTCTTTTATTTTGTGCCATTTCAATATCTTTTAGTATATTAAATAACTTATCTATATTGTTGACTACCTGCGTAACATGGTTTAAGTTATTTGCTAAAAGTTCTTGTTCTAGATGGGTAGCTATACATTTTACTGCAGCCACCTTTTGTTCACAGGTCTTGCGCATTTCAGAATCAAAAGGTTCATCTTGGTCTATTTCAACCAAACTGCTATTCTGGAAAATCAGAGATGATTGAATGTCTGCTTGTGAAATTGTAGATTGCTGAATATTGAAAATTTTCAATATAAGCTTTCCATTTATACTCCAGATTAAAAAAGGATAATCTTCTTGGCATTTAAAATTTTTGTATAGCAATCGAATACCTTGAGGGTCAAGAAACACTGCTTTATTAATTGCACGTTGCACTAAATGCTTACAAATGAGAAAACGAGAGTAAAGAAATGAGAGCAACTACATATCCAGCATTCAAGATCAATAAAATAGCAGGTATTATCACTATCAGAAATTTGGTTAGTAGTAGATTGATTCCAATCTTTTTTAAAATCATTGAACCATGATGATGTTATTCGCCCCTCACGAATTTGATGCTAACGGATGAGTTGATCAGGTATAAGACGCGTACAGACAATCTATACAACATAATCCAACTGTGGTCGATTAAATCTTTGAAGATAGCAATGCTTTACGACTCTTCAATACGATTCTATTAGCATATTAGTCTTACTTAGAGGTATAGTACTTTGTGTTGACCGGGCCTAGAGTATCTATCTTGTAATTTTATACCAAGTACACTATAAATATGCCCAAAGATGTACAAGGTTATTTTTAGAACAAAAATTATATATTTCATGAACTGCACTATTATAGATTTCTTTAGACGTTAAAAACTGACCAGCAGCATTTATGGGGATTTTTGAATGAATATTAAAGTGTTTTTCAATGATACTAATAACTTCATCATGCAGTTCTGGTAAACATACTATATAATAGTCAGATTCATGATGATTTAAATCGGGCTTAAATAGAGGGTTAATAAAATCAAATTCAGCGATAGCTTCATCAGGTTGGTAATGGGTACATTTGATTTTATTATGACTTTTAAGTTTTTCTTTTATAGCTTTTTATATATGCCACAAACAAAGCTGCACACTAATATTAGGCCACGCTTCTCTTGCAGTATTGATCTCAGCAAAGTTCTTATCAGTAAAAAAATACTGTGGTTGTAATCCTTTACTATCAAGAGATCAAAAAAATATAACAAGTGCTTTGATGCGTAGTCCTATTTGGTTATTGTCTGATGCATTAGTATTTAGAAATAAATAGGCTATTGGAAATCCAACACCATTAGTATTGCTAATAATTCCGTAAAGCTCAAACCTTCCCTAGTAGTTTTGTAGATCGCATTACAGTGGATACATGATACTGGTAACAGTTTATTTAGTAAAGATGTTATTAATCCGATTGTGGTAACTAAATCATCCCTCCACTCATAACAAAGCTCACTATTGTTACAAGAATTTTTTAAAAAGTGGCATGCAGAAACAACTGGATCTTCATCTAATTTAAAAAAACGTTGATTAAAAAGAGACCACCAGTAATTAATTTGCTTTGAAGTAATTTGTAAAGCATCAAATTTTTGACAAAGGTGTGTTCGTATTTGTACAGGATCCATGTAAAGATTTAGCATAACTTCACGCTTTATTTCTTCTGGAGTTGCAATATCTACAAGCTTTTCATGCTGAATGTCATGTTTAAGCTTTATTATTACTTCTCTTATGGCTATATCGATATTAATAATCAACTTGCCATGATAGTCAAATCTGGCTATTTTTTTATGATTCGATTATTTATACTCATGCTCTAGTTCATAGTATTGAGAACACGAAAGGTAGAATGCATCAACACCAGGATGACGTATTGATATATTAGGCCCAGTTGTAAATCTACAATATAAGCAGTATAATATTTTAATAATATTATTAGGGAATAAGAAAATTGCATTTAATTATAAAAAGATATTATGTTTGAGATTTTATTTATAAAGCTTTGATTATAACTAATTTCCTATCTAATTTTCGATAGTTTAATCTGAAGGTACTTACATCCAATTGTATCCGTCTTTTTCTTCGATTTCATCTACTATTAATCTTACTAAAAGTCTCATATTATGATTAATCTTAGTCAATATATCATCATCGATTTTGATACATAAGTTGAAGGATAATTTTTGGTTTTGCTCAAGGCTAGAAATTTTATTAGAAATGTGTTCGATAATATCAGTAAAGATAATTGTCTCTATTTCATCTTTGAATTGGTTTTCTATTTGGTCATTCGTGTTTTCTAAATAGTTATCAACAGGTAAAGCTTTTTTTTCTGCTCTTTTATTGGACTTTGTAGTTAAACAAGCTAAGCAGGTTTTGTAAGATTTATTTTTATAAATAAATGCTTCTGGAGGCAGTAGGTGAAAGCACGAAGTACACATTTTTGGGTCAGTCATATTTATTATTGTTAGTGCGAATAAAAAATTTAAGATTTAGGGGAATAACTCTTTCCGCTAATCAACAATTTCAAAAAATCACAAAAACAAGAAATAAAGATTTTATCAACAACTGTCATAGAAAACATCTTTTGCGGTATTAAGGAAAAGGATTTAGCACAAAAAGATACCTTGAGTCTCTTAATACAGAAACTTGAAAGCAAACCAACTCAAAGGAAAACAATATTTTTAAAAATTTTTTGTCAAAATTTTGGGGAATTTGGATTTTCATCCTAGACCCTGTAAATTTAAGACGCGTGACAAGTGATCATCAAAACAATATACAAACAA